CACCTTCAGGATACCCCAGGTTTTTAAGATCGTTTTTGAGGCATTTTTGTTTCTGCATGTAAATATTCTTTTAATAACTCTTTCTGATTACAAAAGTAATGCATATTCAGCGTAAAGACACTTGGAAAATAGCACGCCCCAGAAAAATAGCCCTCTGTTGTCTATTGACCATCTGGAGACAGCTACTGCTAACAATTTGGTATAGGCCCTTTCTATGTACAGGCACCCACAAACATAGATACATACATTTTTACACAGTTTTAGCAAAACTTTCATCATGCTGTGTAGATATGAAAGAGCCACTTAATAAGCATGTCATGAATATCTTCCAAATCAACACTGGTTTTAATGGCTACATGGTATGCTCTTAGCCCTTGTTTTGGACATCTGGATTATTTCTAATTGTTTGCTATTAAAATTTATCTTTGTTATGTGTATCTCAGCACTTCTGCTTATTTCTTTTTTTTTTTTTTTTTTTAAAGATTTTATTTATTTTTCAACAGACAGAGAGAGAGGCAGTGAGAGAGGGAACACAAGCAGGGGGAGGGGGAGAGGGAGAAGCAGACTCCCATCCAAGCAGGGAGCCCGATGCTGGGCTCGATCCCAGGACCCTGGGATCGTGACCTGAGCCGAAGGCAGACGCTTAACGACTGAGCCACCCAGGCGCCCGTCTTCTGCTTATTTCTTAAGGGATCGATTCCTAGACGTGGAATTGCTAGATTAAGGCACATGTGCTCATCTTTTCGGTTCTCCCTTCTGACTGGTTTTACCATTCACATTCACACCAGCAGAGAGGATGTGCCTGTTTTCTTATACTCAGGGCAGCATCAACTTCTGTATTCATTTTTGGTTTTCTTTTTGGGGGGAGTTTCTAAGAAACTTTCTGAACCAAGGGACTCAGCCAGTCACGCCTGCCTTGCAGTCACTGGTTGACCTCGGTACCCCCTTTTTTCCTGGGCAGAGCGGCACCCTGAAGACGGCCCTCCTGGACTACATCAAACGTTGCCGCCCCGGGGACAGCGAGAAGCACAACATGATCGCTCTGTGCTTCAGCATGTGTCGGGAGATCGGGGAGAACCACGAGGCAGCTGCCTGCATCCAACTGAAATTGATCGAGTCCCAGCCCTGGGGTGAGCACAGGTCACAGCAGCGTCCCCCAGGCCAGTGCCACCAGCCAGCCAAGGTTCTTAGGACTAAGAAGGGCGAGAGCCCAGGAGACTAAATACTGTCCACTTCAGCTGCTAACAGCCACTCCGTGGGGCCCCAGCTGAGCAGACGGCATGTGGAAGGGCGTGTGAAGGGCTTGTGGAAGGCACCTGCCCCGTTTGCAGTCCCGTGTGCCTGCGGTGTCATCTGTCGGGAAGCAGTGCGCCTGCTGAGGCCGGGCCAGCCTGCCTTGACGTTTCTGAGAACTAGAGGAGGCCTACCAGAGTGTGTGCGCTTCGGGCCCGATGGCCTTTACCTGAGACGTGCCTGCCTCCGTGTGTGAGCGGGGTTGTTTCCGGTCCAGCCTGCCATCACTGAGCGGGATGGGAGCAGCCGCGGGAGTCACACATCCATCAGGTTTCCTTCTCTCTCCTACAGAGGACAGCCTCAAGGACGGGCACCACTTGAAGCAGCTGCTGCTGAAAGCCCTGACTCTGATGCTGGATGCGGCGGAAAGTTACGCCAAGGTAACAGCAGAGCCCTACTTCAGCCCGGCCTTAGGGCTTGGGGTCTGTACTGCGATCTGATTTTGTCCCCGGGCTCTTCCAAGTGAAGGGGCCAACTCAGGGCAGAAGGGGTGAGTTCAGTTGCCGGAAGGTTCACAGGGGAGGTGGCAACAGTCTTTCTACCTGTGCCTCCTCTACCCTTGTCCCTCAGGACTCCTGTGTGCGACAGGCCCTGCACTGTCACCGGCTCACCAAGTTGATAACACTGCAGATTCACTTTCTGAACACGGGCCAGAACACGATGCTCATCAACCTGGGCCGCCACCAGCTGATGGACTGTCTCATCGCTCTACCTCGCTTCTACCAGGTAAGCAAGGAAGGAAATCTAGCCAGCATCCTCTCTCCTGCTGTCCCGCTCATGGGGCCCAGTGGTCGAGCGACTTGCCTAAGGTGTCAAGGCTAGTGACAGAACCAGGAGAATTCTAAGCTTAACTTGAGCTGAGAAACCAAACTGTCTTCCATGGCAGTATCTGTGAGCATATTGTTTGGACAGAGGCTGGAAAATGGTGAGGCGGTGCGGTCTCCGTTCCTCGTGCTGCGAGGCCACAGACTTGCCCCTTACACAGCTGGGGCTGGATGGGCGGACCTGCCGGAGGGCTGAGCATCTCCTAGCCCCGGTGTTTCTAGGATGGTGCACCTGGGTTAGCAGAGGGAGTCAGGGCTTCTGGGAGGCTGGCTCTGAGCCCTTGAAGAAATGGTTACCAGGGAATCAACCCTTTCCCTGTTCATTACACAGCTGAGTTAGTGGGAAAAATATTGTTTCTCAGCAGTTTTTATTAATGCATTGTGAAGATTAAAAACACTGCAAGATGTTTGGGGTTTAAGGGCAGAGAGATGTCAAACTAACACCAAACTTTTCCCCAACCCTAATACGTAGAGCCTTTCAACATAGTTGATGCCCACATTCACTATGAATGTACAATATTAAGTTGTTTTCTAGAACAGCTTGCCTTTACTTTTACATCAAATAGGGCTAAATGGAATCTTCCCCTCTATTCCTTTTAAGGCTTCTATTGTGGCCGAGGCCTATGACTTTGTTCCTGATTGGGCAGAAATCCTCTACCAACAAGTGATTCTTAAAGGAGACTTTAATTACCTGGAAGAATTTAAGCAGCAAAGGTTATTAAGATCTAGTATATTTGAAGAGATTTCCACAAAGTAAGTATTAAAATGCCTCTGCTTTGATAAGGTATGGGTAAGAATTTTATGGCTAAACAGAACATGCCTGTAGCTGCCTCCGCTTGAGATGGCAGACGTCAAGAATCCCCAGAAGCGAGAGATCGTTTAACAAATTTAGGCAGACAGATGAATGAGAACAGTGTCCTCCCAGTGCTCTGTATTTAAAACGGGAGGACAGCTACTCAGCCTGCCTGAAGTACCAACAGCCCTAAACCTCAGGGGCCCCCTTGGGAGTACTGCCCTTATTCCAACTAAGGCGAGCATGAAGGTAACATTTTTAATGACATAACTTCCGTGTTTATCTTACCTGGTATCCCCTAAGACTAGTCTTAGATAATTTCTCAAACTCCAGGATCCTCTCCTTTGTGAGGAGCTGTGTCAGAGTGCAGTCCTCACTCCAAACACAGTAGCTTAACCCGAAGGTTCTTCCGTTTGTCTAGATGTAAACGGCAGCAGCCGGCAGACACAGCTGTGAAAAACCTGAAGAAGCTACTCACATACTGTGAAGACGTCTACCTGTATTACACGCTCGCGTATGAACACAAATTTTATGACATTGTAAATGTGCTGCTGAAGGACCCTCAGACTGGCTGCTGTCTGAAGGACATGCTAGCAGGTTAGGTGGGTTCAGATGAGAGGAGGGTGGGTATCGCCGAGGTGACCTGGGTGCCTGCTGTCTTGTACTGAGATGAGCTGCCGACAGATGTTTGCAATCAGAGTAGAATAATGCGTCGGGGATATTTGTCTTCAAGTTGTAAAACCCCGGGACTGACCATAACCAGTCCTTTGTGAATAGTGGGTAAAGAATTAGAGAATTTTCACAAGGAAATTATTTAACAGTGCTTGTTCATCTACACCACTTTATATAGATATTGGTATTAAGATCAAAAGCTCCATCTTCCTGAAGGCTGGCTTCTGTTTAGAGATACAATATTGATTAAAGAATACCTGTGCCTGCAGATTCCAGTTTCAAAGGAATTTAATATTATTTACACAGTTAAGGAACAGATGATACATTTCCATTTGTTAGAAACTGATCTCTATAATAAAATAGATTTTAAATTCACTGTATGTCATTATTACTGCCAAGGAAATCTTAGCCCTTGTCTACCTTAAAACAATCTTTATTTGCTCTGATTATTGCTGTGTAGTCACTGCTTCCTATTAATTCCTCAAATCATTTAGATGGTCCTGTCTTACACTCAGTAGTCTAACAGAGCTTTGATTGAGGTTCCTAATTCCTATTTAAGAGAAATTTAAAACATTTTTTGTTCTGTCCCTGCTTTTGATTCTCTGATGGTTTCAAAAAAGACTCCAACCACAAATTTGGTTAAATTGCTTAAAAGAAAATATATAATAAAGATGATCACCCAATCTATGCTTACTTACAGCCATAACCTGAGTAACAAGCTCAATTATCTCAAATAAGCTCTTCTAGTGACTTAAAATTAGGCCTTAGTATCTAAACAACCAAACAATTTGCCCAAATAAATAAGAGGAGGAAGGCAGCCCTATCCCTTTGTTGCTCTAGGGTGACACTATGCAGGGCCTGGCACATCATTTTTGTCTCAAAGCTGTAACTGCTCGTCAGGCATTTATTAAGCTTTATAAGTATACAGAGAACTCTATCCCCAAGAGCTCGGCTCTATACGCTCCAAAAATATCTCTTGGGAGTTAACACAAAATTTAAGTCCTCACAATTGTGATTTTATTAAATTAGTTGCTTTATAAAACACTGCAGATGTCATAATTGTTAACAGTTTACCAAACTGTAGTCAACTGGTGCAGTTTGCTGAGCATGTTTTATAAAGGAAAGGAAATGCCAAAACCCTGGTAAAGTTGTTCCACTGCAGCCTAGGAGAACAAAGGAGAATTGTTTCTCAGACACTTAAATCAGGGAAATAAAACAGGTAAAGAGCTTCCCTCCCCCATCTGAAGCACTCCATCAGCAGAACAGTCTGATAAATAGAAACTAGACAGTCTATGCATTCGAGAGATTCCGCACGTTGTAATGCAATGCAATAATGGAGAGGTTTACCTTCTTCAGCTTCAAGGTTGGAGGGTTTTGGTCATTTAATTTTTAAATATCAAGCTAGTGCTTTTCAGCCGTTGTATCTTCACTCTGAGATAAGCAGTCTTCTTCACAATGTTTTTTTTTTTTTTAATATCCTCACGCTCAATTTTAAGACAAAGCAATTTTAATACTAGGCGCACACCACATGCCCTTGCCGCAAACTGCTTTTCTTGACAAGTTATGAAGTAGTTCAAGGAGGTATGGTTAAGGCTGTATTACTGAATGGTGCTGGTAAATACTACACAATTTTTGTCATGTTGCAACCTTTTTACCAATTCAGTGACTGCTGCTATGGAATCAGATAGCAACAATGACAACATTATTAGGTTTGTTTTTTTTAAACTATGATTTAGTAGCAACTGAGGTTCCCAATTTTAACCCCTTGGCAGCAAGATCCAAGTTCCCTCATTCGCACGTTAGCACCTAAGTGTCAAGGGGTTAAATAACCAGCACAAAAGATACTGCACTTCTGATTGTAGCATTTGGCAGAACTGAAAGGAAAGGAAGTTGTGCTACATGTTGAAGGGATTGTGGGCAACAGAAAGAAGACACCAGGAGAAGAGAAAATGTCACATGAAGTCTTCATAGTCTTGTACATATCCTCCATCATAGCCACCATAATCTGCCAGATCGTCTTTCATGGTAGCCTTTAATCCCCCTCCAGGGACCACACCTTTCTTCTTCTTTTTGGCTTTGCTTTGCTAAAGATAAAAGAGAATTAATTCGTGAGACTACCTACTATGGGTACCTTTTCCGGTACAGAAACCCTCAGACACCCAAGCCTCTGGTACCAAAAAATTGCTTTAGTTCTCAAAGGGAGATCCCAGACCCTAACCCCGGGCAATTTCTATTAATTCCAAAAAGCAAGCTATGAATGAGTCTGTAAACAAAAGGATCATAATGGCACTCACACTCCTGCTCTGTTCCAGTTTAAAGTTCTAGTTCAGGCTCCTACTACACTTTAGACTATTATGCCTACACCCCCATCAGCATGTAATATGCATTTCCCCCGCACGCTTGCTCTTACCTTTTCTTGCTTTTGTTTTTCACTGCAAAGCACAGTCAATGAATTGGTAATCTTTTTCAAGTCATCAATTTCCACTAAGAAAAAAAAAAAGGAATACCACATCTAATTTGGCCATCATTAACTTCAGTAACTTTGAAAAGACTTAAGAATTTGTCCTGTTAAACGTAAGATGGTAAAGAATCAGTCTATGGTTAGGCTCACAAATCAGAACTATTGAAATTTCTTTATAATGACCTGTAATAACCAAGCACCATTGTTCAACCAAAGAGAAACGAGAAGTGTCTTCAGAGCTCACAGAGCTCCCTGCCATACTTCCTTACTCAATCTACACACGTGAATGTGGGGGGAAAAAACCACAGGGCAGATAACCATGCCTTTCCACAACACATCCTCAATGCGCAGTAAGGTGTGGCTGAATGAAGGTGGAATGACAACTCTCCACCCCTTGGGTCTCCCATTTTCTACCACAGGAACCAGAATGAAAACAGTAAGTGTCTCAGAAACCTCAATGTCCCATTAGACACAAGCCTGTTTACGGAAAAACACATCCTTCCATTCTTAGAGAACTAACAAGCCACCAAAAAAAGTATATCAGTTTTGGTTAGAGAGCACCTTCAAAAATAGGAAAAAAAAGTATGTGCAAATAATACACCAACTATGGGTATATCACTAATCAAATTCAGAACCTCCAGCTTAGTAAAGATTTCTCAAGGAACACCCGATTTAAAGTTCATTGTGTAGAATTCCTTTTTCTCAATCTTAACAACAGCAAATACTAGCAGAAACAGTCCCCTTCCACATTAGTGCCACTCCACCCCTGGTTTTTAACTCCCATACACCCTGCCTCTGAAATGTATGACTCCTCTCAGGGCTTGGCACCACACCCACGGGCCCAGAGAAGAGGGACCAGCTCTGTTAAGCAACTTAAACCAAGTCACAGGCTTCCTTGTTGTAAAATGAACAGACACTTGCTGTGGTCTCACTCAGGTCTACAATTCCATATGTTCAGGGATCATTTTCCCCAAAAGATACTTCCTAGTCCCTTTAAGATATAATTAGATAAAAGAAGAAACTAGTGTTTTGTTAACTGCTCGGTCAGCAAAGCCCACATGTCCCTTTTGGGAAGCCATTTTAAAAACATTAAGAAGGCAGCCTCAAAAAACAAAACCACTTACACTCACCGTCTATTTGCAGAATATTCCCAAGGTAACGTAGTTCTAAAAATCAAATCCTACATTTATTATAGAATGCAAAAAAACTGCCAACTTCCATCCTCCTGAGTATGATGTGCCCTTCCTAAAATCCACCCACAAAGATAGAGATTTGAATTACTTACATGAAATACACACATCTCGAACTAAGGCTTCCAAAAAACTGGCATAATATAGTGATTTTTCATATTGTGTAATTTTATCTTTTAGTAACTTTCCAAACTCTGTGAAGTCATCTCTCGAAGATGGGTTCATAGCATCTATTCCATAAACTGTATTATTAACACCTGCGGGAGAAGAGGGAGCACTAAAAATATCAGATTCTTTTCAAGTTTATAAACCAACTAGCTACCTGAACAACCCTGTTATTTCATGCTAAAGCACAGGTTCTTAACATAGGTCCACTGGAGTCCTTGGACAGCATTCAGAAGGTCTGTGAATTTGGATCAGAAAAAAATTTACAGCTTTATTTTCACTAACCTTTAATTTAGCATTTCCTTTCATTTTAATTATAGGCAACAAATCACAGTGATATTAGCAAAACCTGTTACCAGTAAAAGATCAGGTATTTTCATATCACATTACAGTTGTAGTTATCTTGAAATAATGTTTTCAAATTACATTACTTATTAGACCTGCCACTATATCTTAATGCATTAATAAAGAAGCACATTACTGTATCAAATTATTTAAATATTTTGATACCTATTTCAATAGGCTTCCTTAACTAAGTAAAATCCTTTGTATTTTATGCATTTAAAAACATTAGATTAAGAAGGAACCCAGTCTTCAAACCACCAAAGGAGTCCCTAGCACAAAAGGGATGCTCTTAAAGCACAGGTCTAAGAATAGCCCACAGGGAAGTGCAGAGAGAAGGAAAAAGCAAAAAAATAAATAAATAAAGATGGTTCCTGTGAAAGTATCCAGCTAACTGATTCCAGAGGCTAAGCAGGGGTAAACCATGTGTTAAATCCCAAGAGAAAAATAAATCTGGCCTAAAAGGATTCAAGGCTAAGAGACAGTACACTCTGTATCCTCCTCAATAGTAAAGTGAATTAGTTGTTAACAATTATCACTGATTCAGTATTTTAGTATGAGAAACACAACATTAAAATCCTATTAACCAAATGATGCCTGTATGAATGCATGTTTTTGCCTTTTAATCTATAATTGTGGTCCCACATTAGAATTTATAGGTACCATGTAAACTCTTCTCTTTAATAAACACATGGGTGGCTTTTACCATCCCATGAAGACACTGGATAATGGCTGCATGCCCCATGTAATGAGATGAGTGCAGTTAAGACATGCCAAGCACACACCAGTGCACAAGAGCATCACAGCAACTACTCTCAGATTGCTGGCAACTCGTGGAGAGAAAATCACACCTCCCGCAGAAAGGAGAATGATCGTTATAGCCTGCTCGATCCATTTTAAAAAAGAGGAAGGATGGGAGTAAAACTCAAGATAACTAGATCCTTCTTAGCTCTAGGTTTCAATTTCAAAGTTATTTAACTGTTTCAACATGACCTTCTACTCTGAAAAGTACTCAATAGGTGATGACAACAATGAACTTAATTAAACAAAGTGAGAGCTTTTATCTATTTCTTTGGCCATGTTTCTTACTTTACCCTTTACCCACGGAACACTCTGAACTCCCCTGCACACAGGACCCTGAACATGTCTTTTATCTCATGTACCACCCACAGCTGCAGGGATAGCACACAGAAATGGAAGCCCTCCAAAGACAGGGCATGGTGAAGGCTAAGAAGGGTCACAGAAAGAAAATGACCCCGAGCAAAGGCACAGCCCTATAGTCAGTTCAACATTTAAACCTCAAAGCTACAGGCCTCACATTTCATCCAGCTGATAAATGTATTTAAAGCAGCAGTATACTTTATTTGGGTCCAATGACTTAATAATCTTTTACTTGATACTCAAAACAATTATTCAAAAATCTGAACATGTATCTCACTCAACCTTAAGCAATGAAATCTCAAATATAAATATTAAAAACTACTTTCTAATATCTAAGTTAGCCAGTATTATATTATTTCAAAAAAGGAGATGTTTTCTAAACTTTCATAACTAGTAACATTTCCACAGCATTCACCTGGAACTTCAATACTTCACTGCAATCACCATGCACCCCCCCCCCACGCCTTACCAAAAGTTTCTTTTGCTAATTCAAGGTCTGATTCTTCCTGTAATTTCTTTAGCCGCAGTTTATCTGCTAATTGTTCTTCTGGTGTTAGCACTTTAGGTTCTTCAGGTTCTTCTAACTAAAATGAGACAGAAAGGAAGTTTTAAAACAGCTGGCTTAGGACGGACCAGGACATTTTTGTATTGTGTGCATTCTTTTTTTATAAACCCATATAAATAATAGCAAACACTTATAAAGTGTTTATTATATTTCAGGCATCCTTTTAAACACTTTAGATATTTTTTAAGATTTATTTGAGAGAGAGAGAGAACAAGCACGAGGCGGCAGAGGGAGAGAGAATCTCAAGCAGACTCCATGCTGAGCAGAGAGCCTGACGTGGGGCTTAATCCCACGACCCTGAGATCACAACCTGAGCTGAAACCAAGAGTCAGATGCTTAAGCACCTGTGCCACCCAGACGCCCCAACACTTTAGATATTCTTATCCTGATTTTACATGAAAAAAAATCTGAGGCAAAAAGAGGTTAAACAATATGCCCATGGTAACAGAAGGTTAACATGGCTAGCAATGTGAGAGAACTGAGATTAGAACCCAGAAGACTGGGTTTTATTTCCAAAACAGCCTTTTTAAAAAATATGGAATTTAGACTACAGAAAAGGGAACGATTGCACTCTCATATTCTGCTGCTAAAGACCGTATTTTGAAACAACTTTCTAGGGCAACTTGGAAATATGTATGAAGTCTTAAAATACTTTTACATGCTTTATATGGAATCAAATAATTCCACTTCTAGTTATCTTAAGAAACCAAAGATGCACACAAACATTTAGCCACAAGGATGTCCAATGGAGCATTACTTATAATTTCAAATATGTTTAGAGACAACCCAAATGTTCAACAACAGAATGGTTTAATAAAGTATAGCACATCCATATGACCATACAAATGACCCCTGAATTACAAAGGCTTGAACTGCATGGGTCCACTTAATCACAGATTTTTTTTTTTAAATAAATATAGTAATAGTAAATGCATTTTCTCTTTATGATTTTTTTAAAGACTTGAGAGAGAGAAGCAGCCCGAGGGGCAGAGGGAGAGGGAGATAGAATCTGAAGTACACTCAGCGCCCAGCATGGAGCCCGACACAGGGCTCAATCTCATGACCCTGAGATCATGCCCTGAGGTGGAACCAAGAGTCCAGTCCGACACTTAACCGACTGCCCCATCCAGGCACCCCCTCTTTATGATGTAATAACATTTTCCCCCCTCTAGTTTATTTTATTGGAAGAATACAGTATATAATACATACAACTATAAAATTATGTGTTGACTATGTCAGCAGTAAGACTTTGGTCAACAGTAAGCTATCATTAGTTAAGTTTTGGGGGAGTCAAAAGTTGTATGTGGATTTTCGACTGTGTAGGGAGTCAGCACCCCTAACCCTCCTATTGTTCAAAGGTCAACTATACTATGCAGACATAAAAAAGTGTTTTTTTTCCCCGAAGAATCATAAAAAGAATTTATCTTTTTATATTGTTACTACTATAAAAGTAACACATTATTGGGCGCCTGGGTGGCTCAGCTGGTTAAGTGTCTGCCTTCGGCTCAGGTGGGATCGAGTCCTGCGTCGGGCTCCCCGGTCAGTGGGGAGTCTGCTTCTCCTTCTCCCTCTGCCCCTCTCTCCTGCTCGTGTTCTCTCTCTCAAATATATGAATAAAATCTTTTAAAAGAAGGACCACATTATCATTTATTAACAAATTTAAACACACACAATAGAAGTTGTCACTTATTTCCCAGTCCTATTCCTCTGAGATGCCAGTTAATGGTTTAGTGAATATCATTTCTTTAGACTGTGATATTTCCTACAACAAATGCATTTTACTATGAGGGAAAATCTGTGACAGTATTTACTGAAGTGGGAAGAAAAGTAGAGGGAGCTTGTGCCATCTGTGGTCATCCACGTCTGTGCAGTTTACAGATTGATTCAGAAGTCCACCTCTGTAATACACAGCATTTTGTTTCTCATGAAGAAGATGAAATAAGAAACGTCATTATACCAAGTTAAAGAATTCTCAGAATATTTCTCAGGGAAATATCTTGACTCAACCGTCTTAGTAGATCTGGACATCATTAAGTATTTTCTGCATCAAAACTGCACATATCTTAACTCAATACTTGACCTAAGACAAACTAAGGTTTCTTTATGTTGGAGACTAATACCAAGATACAAAAAAGGAAGTATAAATTTTAACTTCAAAGACCAAGAAAGATCTAATCAAGATGGCTTCTTAGACTGAGTTGTAAGATTCTATTGCTTGTTCTGATCATAGAAACACACATGTAGATATACTTAGATACACAAATGTAAGTTATTAAAAAGTATCTAAAATGTTCCTGACTGGGGGAAGCAGGCACTCTCATACACTGTAGACAAATGCAAACTAGTACAACCCCATACAGAGGGCAATTTGTGAACATTTATCAAGACCACAAATATGATTTGCCCTTTGACTCAGCAATCTCTCATTTGGGAATTTATCCTGCAAATGTGACTACACCCATTAGAAATGACACACACATATGGTTATTCATGGAAGCACTGTTCATCAAGTTTTAAAAGGACTGGGAGAAAAAAATCTAGCTGTCCCATCACTAGAAGACTGGTGAAATAAAATATGGTGCATCTAGGCAATCTGTTCTTATCAGTTTAAACCAAAAACTAATGAAAATGGTTTCTTATAGGAGGTGACAGGGAACAGGATGGAGAGGATAGAATAGGAATGGATGTCTGAAACTCTTCTGAGTGTACCATTTCACTATAGTTTTGACTTCTGAACATAATTTATGTTTAAAAAATAAAGTTAAATAAGAAAGAAAACCTTAAAAATGAAAACAAATGGAAACAAATGACCCTAAAACGTGTATCAAAATACACAGGGAAAATAATTCAAATGACTTTAGAACCCAGAATGTAATTCTACATCCTTAGTAGGATATATTCTAAGCCCAAAAAGAACTGCAAGGAAATCCTAAACTTGATTCAGTAGCTTTACATTGTTAGTATTACTGGTATTGTAGAAAAGCTAATAAAAATTACATTAACAGGGCGCCTGGGTGGCTCAGTTGGTTAAGCGACTGCCTTCAGCTCAGGTCATGATCCTGGAGTCCCGGGATCGAGTCCCGCATCAGGCTCCCTGCTCAGCGGGGGGTCTGCTTCTCCCTCTGACCCTCTTCCCTCTCGTGCTATCTCTCATTCTCTCTCTCAAATAAATAAATAAAATCTTAAAAAAAAAAAATTAACATTGTTAGAAACCAGTATTTTAAGAATAAGAGAAAACATCAATATGAACTAATGCTTACACACACAACACATACACACATATACTCATGTACATTTATCTATTTCCTAGCTTCACCCAAAAAAAGGGTATAAGGAGGCAAGACCACCTCAGTAACAGTAAGTACTACCAGCAACTAGATTTGGCCTCTAAATATCATTTCCAACTAAAAAGAACCATAAAGAAGTAGCTGATTCCAGGCCTAAAGAAGAGTTTACCAGGTGAACCCAACACTTCTTACTGTCAGAAAGCAAGGAAGTTTTCAAAGATTCTGTCGAAAAGATGAAGACTAAACAACTTAAAGGGTTTCCTACTGGCTAAAACTGGGACAATATGAGCATCAAAAAAATAATTACTGTATCTGAGTAAAACACAATGATTTCATAAAAAACTCTAAATCCACAAATTTACCCAAAAAGAAACCCACAAAAATCCCTCATTTTTCACCATTTGAAGTTACTATTATACACCCTCCTTACTCTGAAAAATTGGTAATTAAAAGAAAACAATTAAGCTTTTACTCTTCCAGCACAAACCATATCCAAAGTAACCAAACAGCAAAGTTTCTTACTTTTTTCTTACTTTTTCCTTCTCGGGGAAAAAAAAAAAGCCAGCCAATAACAAATGGAAGAGAAATAACAGGATGAGAAAAATCACCATTCTGCAATCCCTAATAAAACTAGGCAACAATCATCACTAATACTAAACAAATGGGTGAGACGTTGATGTCAGACTGGATTACTTGCAAGGATATGTAATTTTGTAATAGAAGGATGTTACTGCCTTAACCGAGTGATCAATTTTAGCATCACTAATAATAGGACAGACATTATGTGACTCCTGGTGTGATGTGATGCAGTATGAAGCACACAGCATGACCTCTGAAGGACTCCAATTAAAAATGTTTAATCTGAATCCAATCAAACTGCCAAGTTACAGGAAATTGCGACTATAAGCAATCAGACAAATCAAGAAGGTGGGATGTTTTATAAGACAACTGGGCTCCTCTCTTCAATAAGTCAATGTCATTTTAAAGAGAGAAAGACACTCCAGAGACTTAGGATATGCTAACAACCTAACGTAATGCAAGGTCCTTGTCTGAACAAACCATACATAAAAGACATTTTGGGACAATCAGAAAAATGCATAAAAACTGAATACTAGAGGATGTTAAAACATTACTGTTTATTAGGTATGTAATCATGTGAGAAAGAGCCTTGCTCTTTCAGAGATGCATACTGAAGTATTTAAAGATAAAATACATAATGTCTGTTATGTACTTGATTGTATTTTAACAACAACAACAAAAGAGATGAAGCAAATATGGCAAAATATTAGCAACTGTTACATATAGGTGACATATATAATTCACTTTCTCTGTTTTTATGTTTGAAATTTTTCTGAATGAAAAGCCAAGAAAAAAATTAAAAAGCTCTTTATGATCTGGTATGAAAAGATTAAATACATTACATGATACAGTAAATAAAGTAAGGTGAAAACTATAAAAATAAAAAAACGTAAGAAAAGCAAGAAATAAGAATATATAGGAGTATCCAAATACATAAAGATACCTCAGTGATGTAAGAAACTGATACTCACTTAAGGGATAGAAGGAGAAAAACAGGATAAATAAATGAAGAGTTGGGAGTTCTTCTTAATATTGTTTTGATTTTTTAATCATGTAAACATATTTTCCATTAAGGAAATTTAAATAGAGTATTCCTGATCTTCCTCCAAATAATCAGGAACAAAAACACCTACATAGTACATGGCAGAGAAATGGTATTTTTTATATTTCACTCACTCAATATGTACACTGCAAATAAAGACTAATCACAACTAGAAAGAACTGCAGGCACTGGCAAAAATCACTGACTGCGGTACTACACAATCACAACTGTTGCCGAATGTGGAAACTTAAAAGGCATTCTAATACATAAAACTTCTGGGTTACCTTTTTGCAAAAACCACAAATTCAGTTTGGGGAATCACTTATCTGATAGCGTCCAAGAACAGTCTTTACTGAGCCCTTCAGATTGCTGTCTGTTAAGACATTGTACCACTACTGATGTGAGACTTCTGTATTGCAAGAAATGAATGGTACTTACCCTCTTTTTAATTTCTTCTTGCCTTTTCTTCTGTTGCCGTTCTTTCTCTTTTATTTTCTCTGTTATTTTTTTCTTTTCTGAAACTTTGACTTCTGAAAGAAATGTTTTAATCAGTTACCCTGAATATTTACCAGTTTATGGATGAGACAGACATGTAACACTTGTATATTCAAGAGACCAACTTCTCCCAGCTAGTTTCATATGGTGACTTACAGGCAAGTAAGAATGGAAAAGTTCTGGGACTCTCTGATCTGACCCCTAGACTCAAACACCTCCCTTCATATTTCCCCAGCACTTTCAGCAGGATTTAGAGCATTAAAATGAGGCCACACCCTCTACCCTCTCCTAACAGCAGCACTCAAACAGAGAGCGGCAGGCAGTAATCCAATCGGATTATGATTTGAAGGGAGAGAAGAAATGGGAGAGAACAATAAAGGGAGAATAGAAGGATGTTTGGGTTTCTAAACACCAATTTCAATTTTCAATTTTGTGAGCATTCCATCATGTGTCTTAACACAAACACTACATGCTCATCAAGATAGAAAACCAAAAATGAAGGAACCCCAGTGGCTCACCTGGTTTTACTTCTGCTTCCTCTTTTTTTTCATCATCATCATCATCCCAGTTATCCTAAAGAAAAGGACCTCTATTAATAATTCTCATGTTTACTTTTCCATGTGCACCTTATTATCAACTTTTCTAACTCCACAGAAGCAGGTTTATGAGAATTTTTTTGGTATTGCATTAAAATTATAAATAAATATTGGGAGAACAGACATCATGATGTTGAGCTACCCTAGCCAAGGAAACATCTGTCTTTCCTTTGTTCAAGTTTATTTCTGTATTTTTCAAGGAGTGTTTTAAAGTTCCTCTCTTAGGGGCGCCTGGGTGGCTCATAGTGTCTGCCTTTGGCTTGGGTCATGATCCCAGGATCGAGCCCTGGGTCAGCAAGGCTCCCTATTTCTCCCCCCCGCAACCCATGCTCTCTCTCTCAAATAAATAAAATATTTTGTAAATAAATAAATGAATAGGGGCGCCTGGGTGGCTCAGCTGGTTAAGCAACTGCTTTCGGCTCAGGTCATGATCCTAGAGTCCCGGGATCGAGTCCCTCATCAGACTCCCCACTCAGCAGGGAGTCTGCTTCTCCCTCTGATCCTCCCCCCTCTCATGCTCTCTCTCTTTCTCTCTCAAATAAATAAATAAAATCTTTTAAAAAAATAAAAAATTTTTAAAAAAATAATAAATAAATAAAGTTTCTCTCTTAGAAGTCTTGTGAATTTCTCTTCAGGTACATACCTAAGAATTTCTGCGTTCCTACTGTAAACAGGGTTTTTTTCCTGTTATGTCCTCTAACTGGTTATTTGTGTATATAATTGGCTTTTATATGTTAATTTTATATCCTGCTACCTTATGTTTTAACTTTTTTTTAAAATCCATTTATCACTTTTCATTGATTCTCTAGAGTTTTCCAGGTGTACTATCATATCATCTGCAAATGAGAACGGCTTTACTTTTTTTTTTTTTTACCAAATCTTTTTTTTTTAAAGACATTTATTTATCTGGAGAGAGAGAGCAGGGGGAGAGGGAGAGAGAGAGAATCTCAAGCAGACTCCCCGCTGAGCTCGGAGCCTGAAGCCCCAGATTCCATGACCCGGAGATCATGACCTGACCTGTAAACAACAGCCTGATGCTCAACCAACTGGGCCACCCAGGTGCCCTACTTCTTTACCAATTCTTACGCCTCCACAACTGATTTATCCAATTGCTGGCTAAACCTCTAGTACACTGTGAATGGTAGCAGTGATAATGATAATTATTTTCTTCTCTTATGGAAATGCCTCTAGTGTTTCCCCATGAAGTATATGGATCCCACCATATTTATGCAGTAAAATATATCAGTCTTTTCTTTTCTTGCCTGTGGATTTCAAGTCAGCTTCTTCTAGAACATACACACTTCCATTGTTTTTCATTTAGATCTCGGGTCCATGTGGAGTTTTTTCTCTTGTATGGTATGAAGTATGATCTAATTCTCTTTCCAAATGGTTACCCAGTTGTCACAGCATCGGTTATTAAAAAGTCCACCTGAGTCCAGTGATTTACCATATAGTAAATTTTCACAGGTACTTATTAGTCTATTTCTGCTTTCTATCCCATCCCACTATCTATTTTCTCTTCATGGACCAATACCATACTGCTTTCCTTACTTTAATTATAGTATGTTTTTACATAGGCCAGGGCTAGTCCCACCCTTACAGGCCTTCAGGTTTTTTAGTATTTTCCTGGCCATTCTTGCATGTTTGTTTTTCCATATTAACTTTTTATCAGCTTGGCTAATTCTATAAAAAAGCTTCTCTGTTAACAAAATACAAGATAACCAAGCCAAAACTACTTCTCTTAAAGTAATTTGCAGCTCTTTTAAATAAAAAACTGAAAGGACTCTGTATTTCTTACTTTCCCAAATGCAATGGTTCAGTTATTTCAAGTAACATTCCATTCAACACAACCCTGTTAATGAATTAAATCCATATAATATTTAAACCCAGTATTTAAGAGTAGTCAAGAGCTGATCAATAGCTTCTTGAACCCACTCCCTAACTTGGGTAGGGCCCTTTAAGGTGGATCTATACTCTTGTCTTGTCACTAAATATAAACTGATTATCAAACAATTTTCCAAAGGCTCCAAACATTTAGAATGTTTGAGTTTAATAGGGACAGACACAGCCTTGTATTTAGATAGGGCTTTAATCTATAGGTAGCCTGGCCATTGTCTCAGCAACTACCAGGCACACTATGATATGCCATTTGAAGCTGAACCACAGGATTGCAGATGCAAAGCAGGAGGCCCTGATGCAACTGGAAGATGTAAAAGATGACTAATGTGCCATGACACCAAGCTTTTGCTTTATAATAAGACAGGTCATAATCTGAATCAGTCTAGGTATTTAAACTAACCAAGCCTTGATTTTAATAAAAATCTCTAAGTCCACCAAAGAACTAAAAAATCCCGATTAAGGCTGCCATATGGTCTGCAAGCAGAGTAGAAAGAAATTTGTATGAAAGTAAAATATTTTGGGACTCCTGGGTGGCTCCTTAAGTGTCTGCCTTTGGCTCAGGTCATGATCCCAGGGTCCTGGGACGGAGTCCCACATCAGGCTCCTTGCTCAGCGGGGAGCCTGCTTCTCCCTCTGCCTGCCACTCTCCCTGCTTGTGTTCTCTCTCTTTCTGACAAATAAATAAATAAAATCTCAAAAAAAAAAAAAAAGGAAAGTATTTTTATAATCACCTTACTATGGCCATTTAACTCACAGTTCAAGGTTAACAGACTGAAAGCAAACCTACTAGTCACTGTTTGGACATCTAAGATACGAGAGTTAGAAATTAGAGAGCAAATGTTTGAATAATCTCACTGGTTTGCTTAAGTGCTTGTTGTCAATACACCATAGTACAAAAGGAACCCTATAGCTAAAAATAAAAATTAACCACCAGGAGTTTTTTGTTGTTGTTTTAATCTTCAAAGAACATAGAAAGCTGGGTCTGTGAGTGATATTCTGCTTAGGCGGTGCTTCTGACAGGAAGACCATTTGCTTACTTCAAAGGGATACATATTCACCACTCTCTATTAATAATAGTGATGATATGATGATGATGATGATAAAGCATTTACCAAGTGCTTACTTTGCACCAGGCACTGAGCAAAGGGCCTAACATGTAATAACACAGTTAACCCTCACAAAAGTTCTACAAGTCAGGTGGTGTTAGCCCCATTTTATAGATAAGAATATTAAGGCCCTGAGATAGCTATCCCAAAATCTCAGTGAAATATAATGAGCAACAACAAAAAAAAGCCCCCCCCCAAATGAAGGAAACAGTTCTAAATGGACCAAAGTTCCTTTAAAGTGTCATACTAAACATAACTTCTTACCTGAGCCCTGAAGTATACAATAACTATCTGAGAATTAGGTCTCTCCCCATCAAAATGTGTTCTTTCAATCAGTTCCGGAATGAGTTCCACTGGAATTGTAGGAAAGCTCATGAAAGAGAAGGGTATGGCACACAGTATTATGCCCAGCTACAATTCTATCAATTTCCTACCTCAAATTGCCTGTGATGATTTTCTACTAAATTTAAGAAAATAGTCCAGCAGCCTCTGGTACGAGGAAGCCAAGAGGGGAGAAGAAAGGCTTAAAATGAGCAGCTCCGGGCGCCTGGGTGGCTCAGTTGGTTAAGCGACTGCCTTCGGCTCAGGTCATGATCCTGGAGTCCCGGGATCGAGTCCTGCGTTGGGCTCCCTGCTCGGCAGGGAGTCTGCTTCTCCCTCTGACCCTCCCCCCTCTCATGCTCTCTTTCTCTCTCAAATAAATAAATAAAATCTTTAAAAAAAAATAAAAAATAAAATAAAATAAAATGAGCAGCTCCATCCCAGTACATCCAAAATGGAGAAACAGATACATCAGAGGAGCATTTCTCAGTTCCCTTTGCCAGTAAAATATCACCCCCACCCATATCACTGCTCCCTCAGTATCTCATTTATACCAACTCTTTGTACCACCTCAATCCCTGTTCCTGGTTTCCCCATCAAAGCATAAACTTTATTCCAGACCTTCAAGTTAAACTGTCCCATCAGTACAGACATAATGAGGCTACCTAGAATTCCACCACAGAATGGATTTTAGAAGCAAAAGCAGTGGTTCCTATCAACCAGTCCTGGGAACAGCTATGGAACCTGCTCCCACGTTCATAAAAGAACCATGAAAGGCAAGCCCTGCCTGTCACCCCCACCCCAGAGTGCTCAAAACAAATCTGCCCTGAAGTTTCTACCACACTGGGGACAAGTCCCTAAAGAAGGGAGCATAGTGATGTTAACAAAGAGACTAGTCACCCTTCCAAATAGTTGTAATCCCAAAAGCAGGTCAGGTAGTTTTCTCCAAGAACTTAAAGTTTTTGTTTCGTTAGTTATAAAATTTGCAAGTGCCTAAGTACATGTAAAGTAGAATGTCAAAATCTGCCCAATTTTTCTATAAACACTAGGATTTTGTAAATGCTGACAATAACTTCCAATAAAATTCAAAAAAGGTTCTTAAAGAAACAACTAAAACACACTTAAATAGCGAGTAAATCTGTAATTTAGTAAGCTCTAAATGGTTATTTGGTTCCAGAGAATACCTATCAATAACCAAGTAAATTCCTTACCCAATTATTTTTGGTAGGTAATACATCTGCTAACTATAATATTCAATTTATCTTCAAAAGAACACCTAGCTTGCTCTTGTAAAGTGGCTAGCTTCCTTAAAACAGAGGCAGTTTATAAACTACTTGCTTATCTATACTCTTCTACAATACACACCCAATATCATTTGAGCCATTTCTCTGAAAAAGATGGCTGCTTTTCAAGTTTAAAACCTGCTTCCCAATTGAACATGACTGAGAACTGAAAACAAAACAAAAATTTTAAATCCTGCTTTTTTAAAATTTCTAATAATATAGCCAGTAGTTGGCTAATCTGCCATTTTTATAATGTACAACTACAGAATGTCACATGCAATAAGAGAACACATTTAGGGCTGAAAATGCTTTCCAACTTAAGCAAGATATATTTATAGATCATCAAATAGAAGTAGCTTCAAAGGAGGATAAAATTCTTCTGCCCCATAGCAAGAGTCCATTAATTAACATATACTCCTTTACTTTTCTTTAAGTAGTTTGGTTTAGATAAAGAATAACCTTTTGCAGGAAAAGAGCCTTTTACCGATGTTCTGTAAGCTGTACTGACCTGCTCTGAGAGGCCTCAGAACTCTGTAACAGGCTTCTGGCAAGACTAGACTTCCCAGCAAAGTTCAGTTTTTAAAAGAAGCCCAAATGTTCTTCCATCATCTCAGGACTAGCCTGGCTTCTGGAAGCCAAGGTACCTGTCTCAATAAATTCTACTTCATTTAATTCAATTCATTAAGTTTTTAACATCCTACTATGTATTATGGCTCAGCACTCAGTTGAATTCCATCTCAATGCCTACCTGGTCTCATATTTAGAACTGTCATTAATCAATTCTACTTTAAATGCTTGGCTAAAGCAAGATCAAGATACTGAATACTAAACAAATGGCTTATTTATTTTCAGTCATCCAGCATGACAAACACATTAGGTAAATATTTTTCAGTAACAAACATGCTTTCTAACTAAAGACTTACTAAGTTTATAAAAACTATCAGGGAACTGAAATGATATAACTGAGATTTTCCTGAAAATAATCTGATGAGGGGAGAACAGTAAGTGGAGATACAGAAAAAAATAAGATTTCTCATCTGTTTATTAAACTTCTCTTTACCTCTGTTTATATCTGGAATTTTTCATAAGAAGTTACACACACACTTCAAGATACCCATTTCCTGGCAAAATGCCCAATTTCTGAGTATTTCCCAATAATCTCCCATTCCTCTGAAGTAGAGATCCCCTTCTTCAGAAGTGCTATTTCCAATGTTTGAAAAATGTCCTTACTCTGGTAGATTAAACTATTAAGCCGGACAGGATCCTAACAGATGGTTGAATGGGTAGGATGAGACAAGCAGGTTTCAACTAAGTTCATTCTCAGATCTTTCTTTAAAATTCTATAAAAACATTACAGGAGCAAATGCCAGAAACATCTGAACACAGCCAGGAGAGGTTTCCTCAAAACAATTCTACATACCTTGAATAAATCCAGCTTTTAATCTGTTCTATACTGAAATGCTAGGAGACTAAAGTTGTATTGTCCCTGCTTGCAAAGGATAGGTACTCACTGCCTTCTTAGTCAACACAACCTGCACATCACTTCAGCAATGGGGAAGGAGTCCAGTGATACATGCTAAGTGAACAATTCCTCCCACTACCTCTGAATAACATCAGGACAGTAAGAAAGGTAAAATAACAAATGTGACAGGAGAGTATGCTTCCTAGTTCTCATCTTTTTTTTAAAGGACTTTAATTTTAAGTAATCTCTACACCCAACATGGGGCTCGAACTTACAACCCTGAGATAGAGTCGCATGTTCTGCCGACTAAGCCAGCCAGGGGCCCCTAGTTGTCATCTTTTTAACTGGGAAGAAGCATAGGCTTCTCTCCTCATGAATATTAACAATTCTATGGTTTCACCTAAATCCATTTCTGCCACTACCAAACACCTACTTGAAAAGTCAAGGGCAGCAAAATGTTGTAATGTCTACTGAAAGACAGTAAACTACTGAAGCAAATTACTGTAACAAAGACCTCAGTTTTCATTTCTCAGGACATTACAAATGACATTAAATCTATATTCTTAAAGATTAAACACTAGATGATGACATAAACTGAAGAACTTGTTTCTGCATATCTTACCTTTGAAGACTTTTAAACAATTTGTATGTTGTACTATTTAAAGGTTATGATTATTTGATCTCATGAGAACTAAGCCTTGTTTTCGCATCCTTACCAAAAGATTAAGTACTAAAACATTAGAATTCAGAAATTTGGTATTACTTGCTACCATCCAAAGTGACAAAATTCAACTCTAGATTGGTAAACTCTGAGCAAGCAAAAACTTGCTATCTTGATAACCAAGATCATCCCATTCAAAACCCAAAATTCACAGTAAATAGCCACTGTGGAGATAACTTACTCTGGAGGTTAGGAAATCATAAAATGTGGCACAAAATAAACCCCAGATACTAGATCTAACCAGTATATTTTCCTTTAGCCAGAAAAATTAAGACTACATCTTGAAGTAAGAGAGTATTAACATTTATTGAGTGCCTCCCAAGTGCTAGGCAACTCTGCATAACGCTAAGACATATTAAATCACTTAAAAGTGCAAAACAGGGGGGCCTGGGTGGCTGAGTGGGTGTAGGACTCAATTTCGGCTCAGGTCATGTCAGGCTCATGAGATCAAGCCCCACCTTAAGGCTCCACACTAGGCGTGGAGCCTGCTTAATATTTTCTCTCTCCCTTCCCACCATAAATGAATGAATGAATGAATGAATGAATGAATGAATAAATAAATAAAGCAAACAACCCCCTGAAGTTATCTCCTATAATAAAAATATAGATTGAGAAACTAAAAGGAAAGATTAAAAAACATGTTTATGACCACAAATACAGAAAATGACAAGCCAGTAATATACATCCACGTCTGATTCCAAAGCCTAGGAATCAAACTATTCCTTGAATACCATAACTTGGGAATCTTGAAGAAATTCAAAAGAAATAAACCAACATTTCAACTTAGGAAATAAAATGGACAAGTTCAGTTTTTCTTCAAGATCAACTTCAATGTTTATGTAAAAGAAACAAGATATTTGCATAAAAGAAAGAACCTGCACTGAAAGAGTGAGTGGACAAAATGACCTTTATGGTCTCTTACAACCTGTAAATCTTAGTTACAAGTGGTCAGAATTATATTTATCAGGATTGACACCCTTTAGATCCAATAACCTCAGGCACACTACTTCATGGTATCACTTCAGACTGCTCCATTCAGACTTCATTTTCTGGTACTTCTTTTCTGATTTCTCTAACCTTTTCTTCTCATTAAATTATTCCCAATTTTCAGAACAGATGTCCTAACAGCTGCATCCGATAAGGAGAAAGTGAAAGGACAAATTTGAAGGCTCAAAACAGAAAGTCCACTACAATGTAGGGAGGTAACTAATATCTTGCAATGAGACTGACAGACAATCCATTCCCATGTCTCTACAACATGTAAATGGAGCATCTAAGTATCTTCACAAGAGTACTACTCATTTATTAATTCCAATGTGTGCAAAGCTCATATTATTCCTGAACCTCAAGCTGTTCCATAAATTGGACATCCACCTCATCAGACTCAGGAGAAAAAGGTAAAATCCAAACCAAAATAGTATTAAGTTCAGTGTTATCTAGCTTAAATTTTTTCAACCCAAGCAGAAGGACTTAATAGGGTTCCCAATATGTGTTGAAGGGTAGAAGTTAGGAAAGTAAAACATCCACTAAGCGAATCAAAACCAAGACAAACCATTTTCTCTATTCATACAAAACTTTATCTGCACAAATATAAAAAGATTTTGAGAGTTCTGTTAATAAGAACCTTAACATTCTGGTCTTGAAAGGTTTGTTAGCTACTTAAAACAAAAACAAAACAATGAACGCACTAGTCAAACTGTCATCTGAAGCCATTTGATGAGCCCCCAGGAGTCTGCAAAAAACAAACGACGAAGGAGAAAAATACTGGCCCCTCGTCTATTCCAACCAATATTTCCTTAGGTGTCGTTCGTATGTAGACAAATAACTCATTCTGTGGACTGTCCGTTTTCCAGGTCGCTGTGTGGACTACCTTAGGTTTCTGACCACTAGCCGCTGACTATCTTAGTATTCGGTTCATCCTTTTACCACAGGGTGGGGGAGGGAAGCCTAAAGTTATTTCACTTTACTGCATCTATTTGTCTTGTGTTTAAAAAAAAAAAAACAACACTGAAATTAAACCACAGTATTTCATCTAACTGCTCGAACAAACTCTACAAATGAGCCTTCGGAAACGTAAATGAGTTACTGACCCTTGGGAGGCCTGAGCTCAAAAAGGCAGGTGGGTTGCATGACTTTCCATATGGGAAAAACCATGGGGCTCAATCCCCAACTTCCGAGATCCTTCTGGCGAGCGGCTCCAGACCGCGAAGTTTGCACGTGGGCCGGGCCCTGCCGCTGCTGTCACCTCCCGTCGCCAGTTGGCGTGTGGGATCCTGGCCTGGGCGCAGACCCTTAGAGAAGGGCTGAGGCCGGGGCCGCCTCCGTCCCCGCCAAGGAAGTCCAAAGGGCCACGCTGCTCGACTCCGGCCCATATGGCCGGCCAGCAGAGAGAAGGGCACCAGGGAGCCCCACGCTCGCGTCTGGACTCATAGCCCGCAGGCCCGGGCGGCGCCTCTGGGCCCAGAGTCCACCCCGCCCGCCCATTGGCGGGCATCCCCGCCCGCGACAGCGCCAGTCCGCTCCCGCGCTGCCCGGAGCCCCGGCCCGCACCCACCTTGACGTCCTCGTCCTCGTCCTCGCCTTCCCAGCGGTCCCCGCCGGCGGTGCCGCCGCCCCCCACCTTCCGCACCGGGTCTTCCACGGAGAACGTGTCCGCGTCTACGGAAGAGAGCGAGCCGCGTTAGTGCCTGCTTCGGCTTGAGGCCAGCGCTGGCCCAGTCCCTGCCCCCGTAACTTCTCCTCACCCCAGGAATCAGAGTCCCCCGCCGCTGCCGCTGCCGCCGCCATCTCGAGCCGGGTGTGAGCGTGAGTGAGGGGAGAGCTAGCGAGGAGTTAGCGCGGCGGAGGTGAGTCACTGGCTTTGCTCTCGTTGGCCGGCGCGGGGCAGGCTGGGACCGTGGCTGACTGTGCGCCGCGGCTCAGGCTCCGCCCTCTCTGGCGGCGGCGGCAGGGCGACGCGCGCGCGCGGGCGAGAAGGGGGCGTGGAATGCGGCCGCCGGCGCGGGAGTCGGGCGGGAGGGTGAGACCCAAGGGTGCAGTAGTCCACGGTGTGGAGGTAGTGGTCCTGAAGGCAGTGGGGCGGGAAGAGAGGAAGCGGCTAGGAGACGGCTGCTCCGGCCTGGGCTCCGGGGAGGAAACGTAAGTGCGAGGAAGTTAGAAGGGTGGTCCCTTGCCAGGCGCTTGGCCCTCGCCTGTCCTCGCCAGCCCTCCCCTGCCAACCCCAGCCCCGCCCCGACCGGTCGGGGGCACCCTCCCTCTGTTCACTTTGGTCGGCGCCCGGGCTTGTTGGCGGATACCAAGGAGACCCCTAAGCTTTCCAAGCTGCGCTCTGAAGCGGGCTGTGAGCGCCAGGCCCGCCAGTGAGGGCGGTGGACCGACGGCCCCGACCCTCGGAGGGGGCGTCGCGCGCTGGCGGAGGGCAGCTCCCTCTGGAAGCCAGCGTGGGCCCGGCGCCCGGGAAGGAGCGAGTGGACGGGGCCGCGTTCTTGGCCGCCTTCCCAGCCTGGGTGCTCGAATTCAGCTTTTGGCACGATTGCCTCGAGTTAGTCACGAAGGGATCGAAGAGAGCCCCAGAACTCGAGGATTTTCCCTTCCCGTGAGCCCCTTGAGGCCAGTACATGATTCTTTCGCAGAATAATTTCGGAACTCAGTCTGCGGTAGGCCTCATCTCTAGCCTTGTCCTCAAGGAGCGCACAATCGAGTAGCAAAGATAGACATGTAAACAAAATTTCGACGCAGTGTGATGACTGCAACAAAAAGAAGCATTATGAGGTTAAATGTAAAAAGGTAATAACTTTAACGGCAGGGGGAGCGGGGGGCGGGAATGCATGAGAGGCTTCCTGGGGTAAGTGCTGAGGTATCTGGAGTTTTAAAGACCACGTGAAATTTGCTCAAGTGCATTTCCGGTGGAAGGAATGCTTGTTGTCCCAGACCTGACTGGCACAATCGGAGATAAGCTGAATAGGTAAACTGATCATAATAAAGGGTTTAAGATGGGCTAAACTGCACTCTGCCCTTTGAGCCACTGGGCTCCACTGCAGGGTATTAGGAGGGGAGAAGTTTCAGATATTTTTACTTTGCTTTTGTTGTTAATTTATTTTCGCATATGTAATACACGTACTTGGTATATAAAAGAGTATATACAATGATCAGCCATTCAATTCTTTCTAGGAGCAACGGTTCTCTGCTTCTTGTGTATCCTTTCAGGGAGTCTAAAATACACATTTTTTTAAAAAGTTTATTTATTTATTTATTTACTTACTTACTTACTTAAGCAATCTCTACACCGAGGGTGGGGCTCCAACTCAGGACCCAGAAACCAAGAGTCGCAGGCTCTTCTGACTGAGGCAGCCCGGTGCTCCTACACAAACACCTTTTATAAACATGGTCTTCAGAGAGGTTTTCTACAGCCCAGTTACTCATAGTTTATTCTTGATCTACAGCAGTACTTGGGGAGCTTGTTGGAAATGTGGAATCTCAGGCCCCATCCCAGACCTGCTGAATCGGAATCTGCCCTTTAGCAAGATCCTCAGATGACTCTGCCTGTTAAAGTGTGAGAGGCAATGATACACAGTCATCCGTTATAAAGATAGATAAGAAGTAGGCAAGCAGAAGGCAGGGAAGCCTGGAATGCAAGATCCCTAGGACACTATCTTTTATTCACATTTGTATCTCCAGCATTTGGCACAGTATCTAATACCATAAAGCAAATATTTTATGAATTAATTAAAGGAGAACACAAGCCTAAAGTAAAGCAGTGGTAACAGGAAAGAACTAATCTGAGAAATATTTAAGGGTTAAAACAATTCATTGACTGTGATGGTTAATTTTATGTGTCAACTTGGCTAGACCATGATAACCATTTTTTGGTCAAACACTAGTTGTTGCTGTGAATATGCTTATTGTATGTGATTAACATTTAAATCAGTAAGCTCTGAGTAAAGCAGATTATCCTCCAAAATTTGGATGGGTCTTATCCAATCAGGTGAAGGCCTTAAAAAACCCACACTGAGGAAAAAGGAATTCTGCCTCCAGACTGCCTTTGGCCTCTGCAGCAGCAGCTCTTGCCCGAGTCTCCAGCCTGCTGGCCTGCTCTGCAGATTTCAGAATTGCCAGCTTCTACAATCTGTGAATCAGTTCCTTAAAATCTCTCTCTCTCTCCTTTTCTCTTCCTCTCTCCACACACACACACATGCTATTGGTTCTGTTTCTCTGGATAACCTCAACTAATACAGTGACTGATTGGATGTGGGGGGGAAGGGGATGATGGCAGAAATAGAGGATGATCCTTTTGGAGATTCAATGAGTGGTGGTGACACCAGTCTATGGGTGCTGAAATAAAAAACCTGAGAGCTATCTTTGCTTTCTCTCACCCCCTAAATTCAGTCACCAAGTTTGGTGATTTACTTTCACTATTAATCTTGAATCCATTTACCCCCATATCTCTTGCTACCACTTTCGTCCAAGCTTTCTCTAGGCCTTTCTATGATGACCTCCCAATTGGTTTTCCTTCTCACCCACTTGCCCCTCCACAATCCATGCACTATACACCAGGCAGTATGCTTATTTAAAAATGTAAATCAGATCGTGACACCCCTTTCATCCATTTGAAAACCATTCAGTGGCTTGTTATTTTTAAATTCCAACTCCTTAATACAGCGTACAAGGTCCTGTATTGTTAGACTCCTACCTCCCATCAATCCCCTATGTTATTCTCTCTCATTAACTTCATTGCTACTAGCCATGTAAGGCTACTAAGCCCTTTCCTATTTTGGGACTTTGTACTTGCTATTCTTTCTGCCTACAGTGTTCTTTCCACACTTCTTTGCATGGGTGGTTTTTCTTTCAAATCAAAGTTCAAATGTTACCTTTGCAGAAAGCTCTTCCCTGATCTCCCTCCTGCAAGAAGCCTCCCCCAGTTACTCTGTGTCATCACTCTGTTTTTGTTATAACATTTATCACAATCTCTAATGACCCTGTTTACATAATTAATGTCTCTTTGGAGTACAGGGACTTTGTGTTCTTTACTACTGTATTCCCAGTGCCTGGCATATAGTACGTGGTCAATAAATGTCTTTGAAAATGACTGAATGGTGCCTTATCGTAATAAGGAATAAAGATAAATTAACTTTTGGCCACATAGATCTTGACATTCTTGTGGGACATCCAAATGGAAATGTCTAGTATGTATTTGGAACCACAGAGGTCTGGGTTATAGATAGATAATTAGGAGTCATCTGATTATGGTGGTGGATGGAATCATGAAGGACATCAACATTTAAGGAGCAACCAGAGGAAAAAAGGTATAGAAAGGATAGTGGGTTTAAAAAAAAAAAAAAGTAGCCTTCCAGTTCTATCAGTTTTTTGTTGTTTCGTTTGTAAAAAAAAAATTTAAAACACTGTGGAATATTTGAAATAAATATATTTGAAAATTCATTTTTGGAAGTCAGGAGACCTGGGTTTTAGTCATTCAAATATCAAGATTATATTGAACTGAACATTGGACACTTCCGTTGAGGACTGGAGAAAGCTCACTATGATTCCTCCTTTTCTGGAAATTGTCCTAGTACACAAGAGTAGGTAGGCTCCCAAAAGCTGTGTTTGCTTTCTTAGCTGATTTAGGAAGGGCATAGCTGGTTTGGGAAGGTCAAAAGCAAATTAACTGAAGCTAATGAAGCTTTAGCTTCAGGGCCCCTAGTTGCATGGACCCTTCCACTCTTCAAAGAAAGCCCTCCAAATTGTATATGCTTCAAACTCTATAAAATCTGGAACTGCCTTTAGGTGGGATGTAAGTAACCCAGTGGAACTCTCAATTCTTTGTAGCTAGTATCCAAAGATGCCCCTTCAATGAATAGTACTCAAGCCCTTATGCAGTCTCTTCCCCTTGAGCCTGGGCTAGCCCAGTGATTCATTTTTAACCAGTAGAATAGGGCAGATGTGACATGGAATGCTAGGCCATAACAAGCCTTATAGCTTCCACCTGCATCTTTTGGAATGCTCACTCTGGTGGAAGCCAGCAGCCATGTAAGAAGTCTTACTACTCTTAAGACCACCGTGCTGTTTCAAGCTAACTATATGGAGAGGTTGTTTAGGGAAAGAGCCAGACATGGGAGTGAAGAAGCCATCTTGGACATCCAGCCTAGTTGAGGCTTCAGATGATTCCATCCCAAATGTCTGAATGCAACTGCAGAAGACCTAGAGCAAGAGTTGCTCAACTGAGCCCCATCAACCTACAGATGAGTAAGGGAGAAGTTACCTTAAGCCTCTTAAGTTTTGAGGTGAATTGTATGCAGTGATAACAGAAAGATTCTCTTTCCCAGGACTTTAGAATTTGGTGACTGATGACAGCACCCTGAAGGGAAGACCACAAACTCCTGATGAAGTGATGATTTTCCAGGCCACCTTACTTCCTTCTGCCTACCCTTGAGGTCCAGTTGTCCAGCTCTTCTTTAAATGTCATGAGGTACCCCAGCATCTTTCCAGTACATTTCATTTTTGGTCTCAGCAAAAATTTTAACAAATTTAGTAGTAGTAGTCGTCGTCTAATTACAGATAACGAATCTTTAGAGGCTAAGCTCTGCTATAAAGTCAGTGTTTGGCACATAGTAGGCACTTAGTAACTGTTGAATGACTGCATGAATAAATTTCTGTGCAGAACTGTTTCTTTTTTAAGATTTTATTTATTCATCATATTAACTTGCCTGAAGATGTTCTAAGACAATGTATCTTAAAATGAACAACAAAAAAATGTTAACAGAAGGTGAAACATAGGGAAGGTAAGACCAAAAAACAAGATTTTGAGTCTCTAGAGAAAAGGATAGCTGAGGGACGCCTGGGTGGCTCAGTCGTTTAAGCATCTGCCTTTGGCTCAGGTCATGATCCCAGAGTCCTGGGATCAAGCCCCATATCAGGCTCCCTGCTCAGCAGGAAGCCTGCTTCTCTCTCTTCCTCTGCTGCTCTCCCTGCTTGTGCTCCCTCTCTCAAATAAATAAAATCTTAAAAAAAAAAAAAAAGGTAAGCTGACCTACAGACTTTTGACAGATACCTAGTAGAGATGAGAGGTGTCCTGTTGAATTGATATTAGCCATTATGATTCATTTTCAGTAGCCTTTCTTTCTTGCTCCACCCGTACCAAGCAGACATCTGATTGTAATTTAGTTTCATAGGGAGAAAACTTGCTGCCAGTGAATGAAGAAAATTGAATCTGGCTTAAAAACTAGTGTGTTGTGAGTTTAATTGGTGTGAAGCAATTCTCCTGAATCTCATCAGCTCTGGGTTGAACTGAATAAATCAATTTTCTGGACTTATAAATAGAAGTCCAAACTTTGAAGCGTGAGTGCATTCATTGATTTATTCAACAAATAATTATTGAGTGCTTACCCGTACCAAGTACTGTTCTAGCTTCTGGGGATATTAACTTGAAGGTATTAATCTACATGCAATTGAAAATGGGTTTTGGGGGTTGGAGATGGTATGGAAAAATACATGGGCTATAGGTATGCAGCACTGATAATTTTTTTTTTTAAAGATTTTATTTATTTATTTGACAGACACAGCGAGAGAGGGAACACAAGCAGGGGAGAGTGGGAGGGGAGAAGCAGACTCCCTGCTGAGCAGGGAGCCCGATGTGGGGCTCAATCCCAGGACCCTGGGATCATGACCTGAGCCAAAGGCAGATGCTTAAATGACTGAGCCACCCAGGCGCCCCAGCACTGATAAATTTTTTAAGCAGAAATTAAGAATTTATTCACAGTGTTGTGCATGCTGCTTTTTGAAATGAGGAAGCAGGGAAATAATTGTCTAGAATTATGTGCTAGAAAGTCCATTCAGTCCTTAAAATGAATCTGTGATTCACATGTTAAGTCTCTAGGGGAGCCCTATAATCACACATAACAGTATTATTTTACAGATGACCAGAGTAATTGATCAATGTTGGTTTAACAAATTAATATTAAAACCTCTGCCTGCAGGAACTTCATCATTAAAACCGTAAGTTGTAAATGACAGCAGAAATGAAACAGAGCTGCCAATGGCTTCTTTTTAAATGAAGTCCCTTAAGTACCAGACTCAAAATCTCAGAGATTAAATGAATTAAGGCTGAAGAGGTTTTGATTGCAAATAGGACCAAGTTAAGACATTTATAAAGTACCACAATCACTGAGTCATTACATATGTGAAAAGATTGGATTTATATTTGATATAGAAACAACGAGGGGCGCCTGGGTGGCTCAGTTGTTAAGCGTCTGCCTTCGGCTCAGGTCATGATCCCAGAGTCCTGAGATCCAGCCCCACATTGGGCTCCCTGCTCCGAGGGGAGTCTGCTTCTCCCTCTCCCACTCCCCCTGCTTGTATTCCCTCTCTCGCTGTGTCTCTGTCAAATAAATAAATAAAATCTAAAAAAAAAAAAACAAACAAAAAAAACAACTAATTGGGGGCACCTGGGTGGCTCAGTTGGTTAAGTGTCCGACTCTTGATCTCAGCTAAGGTCTTGATCTCAGGGTGGTGAGTTCAAGCCTCACACTGGGCTCCACCCTAGGCATGGAGTCTACATTAAAACAAAACAAAAAACCTAATTGAAAGACTTTTTCCTTTTAGCCCTCCCCAGCCCTCCCAAAAAAGCCTACCCAAGAATTTTATGACATGAAATGACAGCATCTCTGTTCAACTCCTATACATTTTCCCTTACTTACTTTTATACGGTACCACAAAATCCTAGAGTACCTTCCTATTCCTGTCAGTAAACTGGACAAGCCATACTCTTCCTAGGACTTTACCATGGCCTCCCATTGTCCAACTCTTCCTAGGACTTTACCAATCTCCTGGCCTCACATTGTCCATTGCAAGGGTAGCACCCAGTGCATTAACCATTTATTGTCTTAGAGGAAGAGAATACGTTGTGTGAATTAGGTCAACTTCTACATAACTCTTAACTGGTTTCCCACCCACCCACTCTATTCCCTATGTCAGCCAAAGTGATCTTTTCAAGACAAATCTGATCACACACTCCGTTGCTTGATTTTACGTCCCCTCCTCCCACAATCAAGCCTGCAGATCTCAACTTAATGCTTTTTCAGCCAACCCAAGCCTGGCTCCACACTAGATTGTGTAACTGGCATTCTCAAAGCCATTCTTCTCCTTTGTGACCCTTTTCCCAACATTATTGTCAGTCTTCCCTACTAGACTTGTAAGCTTGAGGGCAGTGTCAGGTTTGCTTTTTTCTGCCGTTTGTAGAGCCTGGAATAGTGGCTAACACAGTAAGGCAGTGTTTTACTGTCATTAGGAAGGCTGCTTATACTTTCAACAAATATTGCCATATATAGAATATAACATTAAAGCTCATTATGTGGTAGCTACTAAAACTCTATCTAGTTCATTTGGTTCATCCACTAAGATGAATTCATTTCATTTATATCAGCCTGCTACCCCAACTACTCACCAGATCTCTCAAGCCATTCAGTACTGTTTCCTCATCACCCACTTTTTCCTTAACACTCAGCATATTTTCATCAAATATATTTTCATAGGTGACCTCTCCATTATTACTTCCTGTCTTCATTTGAATGTACCCTACTGCCCATGTTTTCCTTAAAAAAAAAAAAAGACATGCGGTATTACAATTCCATGATTTTCCACTGCCCTTTCCTGCCCCTTCTAGCTTCAGACATCTCCCCAGACACTGCGCATATGTATCTCCTGCATATCCTCAAGAGAACTACCTGCTTTAACATTTCCATTGTGGTAGTTATTTGTACATTGCCTTACAGTTTATGTCTTGACATGTCTCATCTTTGTAATTCTGAAAGGTAGATCTTGGTGCACCCTTTGCAGAGAACAAATCAAGGCTCAGAAAACTTTGTCTAGTAGTCAATGAATACTTACGGATTTGGATTCAGATTCTTTGACTCTGAACGACCCTTTTATTAACCAAACTCCCAAGTCAGCTATTCACCTGAAGTCATTTATTTCTAAAGGCTACAGTAGGGGTACTGCAGGGACTCTCAAATGTGTATGTACACTAAACTCCATGGGAGCTTAGGGAAAATAGTCATCAAATACCCCATCACAGCCAGGGGCTGAGGAAAATGAAGAGATGTTGTCCAAAGGATAGACATCCAGTTGTATGAGGATCTGATGTTTGGGGACCTAGTTTACAGCACAGTGACTGTAGTTAACAGTGTGGTAAATGTGTACTTGAAAGTTGCTATCAGAGTAGACTTTAAATGTTCTCATCTCACCCTATCAAAAATGGTAATTAGGTGAAGGATGTGTCAACTAACCTTATTGTGGTAAACATTTCACAATATATGTATCAAGTCATCACAGTGTATACCTTAAACTTACACAGTATCAACTTTACTCAATAAAGATGGAAAAAAAAGTCTCACCACAGAGACTGGGGTGGAACCAGAGTGCTATTTTGTAGTTATGCTGGTTCATGTTATTTTGCCCATTATATCAAGTATAAATTCCTCCATTTTAGCTTCACCGTAATCTGGTTATCATCATTATCTCCTTTTCAAAATTCACCCCTTTATTCAGATTTTATTCTACTTCCTCAAACAGTAGTTCCAGAAATTGTGATTCCTCCTGTCTGTAACCTATTCTGTGTACCTTACCTGTATGTCCTGAAGATACATATCAAAGAGGAAAGTAATGTGAAAAAAATCATGTAACAAAAAAAGCACTATACAAATATAAGCTGTTAGATATTGATTCTAATGGCTGATAAAATATCGTCAAAGAAAAGTGCTTCCATAAAAGTTTTATTTATCCCCACAACAACCCTGTGAGGTAGGGTGATCAGGGCATTTGAAGATGAGAAAACTAAGTCTACATTACTTGTTCACGGCTATACTGCATAGTAAATATGTAGAAATTAAACTGAGATTTTTAAATATCCATGACTTTTATATTGATTCACATGGAAAAAGGCAGAGAGAATATTAACTCCCCCCTACCTTAATGCCAAAAGGACACTGCCTTGAAAAATCCCATTTCAAAAGATGAAAGTAGTATTTCATTGCTTATTTCTACAAAGATTTATAAAATAAAAAAATAGTGAAATATTTTACAGTTAATATATATAATGGTCTCATTCAGGGATGTCCTTCAGCTGTATATATATGATCAACTATTTCCAAGTGCTAGAAATGCAAACTCTTAAAAAGTATGAGACAAGAATGATAATGAGCAGTAGCCTGAATCTTCTTTATTATTCCTCCATATATCTTGATTAAGTTCTGTGAAATCTGATCCCAGTTTGAAAAAAAACAAACACCAACAAAAAACTACCACAGAGACGTCTGGTAAACTTTTATTTAGTTGCCTACTCTCAAACCACTGTCACATTATTTAAAACGGTGATTTCCCAAAGCTGGCTATTAGAATCACTTGGAGAGCTTTTTAAAAAACACAGAACTCTCAGGCCCCACTCTAGATCCATTGAGACAATTCTGTAGGGGC